AAATTTAACAGGAAATGCAGTTCAATTCGTGTTAATGGTGTGTGCTCATATTTTCATTTTCACTTTACATGTGCGTTACATTATACATCGTTTGTTTCCACAACATTCCAACATTGGCTGCGCGACGACTGTAGCGCTTTATACAATTGCCAATAGTCACGCCCAAATAAAAGCACGCCCTCTATCGTAAGTTATATGCAAACAATGTAAACTTGTCAGTGATGTTAAGTAGATGGCTATTATAAATAAAAAACATATAATCTAAGACTGATCTTTTTGTTACACCTCATGGTATTTTATTACAGATGAATTAAAATTGGATTAATGTAGAACGCTTCACAGAAGTGTAAATATTGTCTGTTTTTACAGATTTGATATATTATGCTGCAAGAATGAAAGTATTTAGAAATATGGGGGAGAGTAAAATGATGAATAAAATACTGTGAACAAAGCATGTGTCACATGGAAATAATACATCACAATACGCATAACGTTTTATAGGGTATTACTAGTATTTGATGTCTAGGTATTTTTTAGTACTTTTTTTAAACAATTTTTTTTTATTGCTGTCTATGGAACTATTTCATGTTCATAGTTTTTCTAACAAAATAATATGTTGACAGTGAACCAAAACGTTGAACACTGTTGACTAGTACTAAAAAGGATTAATTGTATACGGATTTTGACACGAAATATTGTCTTTGTTTTTTTCTTTGCATTGAATACGCGCTCATGTAATGAACCCACGACATTAACGGGAACAAATTTGTCACGGTTATATAAATAATTGTTAAGCTAAGAACGATGTCTGATATAAAATATGTTCATTTTATGAAGCAGTATTGACATTTGTACGACAATGACATTACAAAGAGCATTGTTCGTTAACTGTTCGCAATGATTTTGTGAATGAAAATGACTTTTGCAATTTAAAGCGTGACGGGAAGTCAGCCTTGAATTACTTATCATTGACAATATGTGAGGGACGATGAAAATAATCTTGGCACTGTCAATAACCAGTGTTGGGTGAAGAATATAACCCTGTCCAATGTTATTTTGATTCATGTTATAGGAGAACCTCTTTCTCAGCTGCGAAACGAAAGGCTTCAGGTAAATTTCACTTAGATATAACAAAAAATTAATACGAACTTAGTATTTATGCTCACTCACATTGAATCTCCTCATACAATGGTGAGGAAAAACTTACAGCCGATTGGCATTGTTTTCAATACACTCGTGTTACCAATATTTACGAGAGTTTAGATTCCAAATAAATTTATCTCAGGGTAGGGAACGAGGGGATACCGTTGACTTCCGATTTCATACAAATGTGCACATAGTAACGACATACAATAGAACACCAAGCGAGACACAGGTCAAATAGGTTTAAATCTATATATATTCGTGGTAACAAGTAAACATTAACAGCAACAAAGTTGTACATAAATAAACAAAATAATGTTACTATATCACAAATAGTCAACAATAATAATAATGCCTTAATCTACATAGCAATACTGTC